CTGGTTGGCTGGCTGGCACTGGGCGTGCGGAAACGGCTTTTCCACGATCGACGTGTCATTAATCAGGCCGTCATTCGATGCTTTTTGTGCCAATACCAAACTGTTACGAAATACCATTTGCTGCATTTTTATGCTCTTTTCGGAAAACGCTCCAAATTCCCCAGGCCTTTTACGGTGCTATTTATTTCTCGCAGTTCAAGCCGTTTTTCCCCGGGAAACCCCTTACCTCTTCAGGGGTTTCAACAGTGGCGTCAGCCACAAACATTTTCAATTCCCGTGTTTTCTTCTACAAACTTGCAGGTTTCATCCTTCCAAACTATTGCTAATGAACTTTCACGACTTCATTCGACAAAATGCCCTAAACAGTACAAAATTGGAATGAAACAACTCAATATATCCGTCCCAGAAAGGTTTTCCCATCGGACTTTCCCCGTGACTGTCAACTCTAGAACCAACGTATCACTCCCTAGCAGACAAACTGCATAACCCCTGACATTTCACGGGAAGGCGAGAACCGTCGTCCTCCGACGGCCCCCCGTCCGACCCCGCGCTCAGTCGGCCTTGGCGGGGACGCCGCGCATCGCCGTTGTATCGTCCTCGCGCTCCGCGACTCTGTCTGCTTCACATTGTCTGTATGTCTGTGTCTCCACGCAAGCCACACTGCCTCGTCGTATGCCCTGGCATGTCTGCAGTCACCTACCGCACGGCCTTTATCGATCGAGGCCGTCGCCCCGACCCCGACAGCCGTCCCGACTGACTACTCTCGACCGGGGCAACGACGATCGACGACGCTTCGAACCTGCGTTTCCCTCTGGGATATCAGCCAAAAGGCGACAGGGATAAGGAAGGCCTACGGGTGGTGTTACATCCGTGTATCAAGCCATTTCCATACATAGCTCTTAATTGAGTTTTTAAGCAGTATCGTCAGTTAGCAATTATCAAGCTACCGAAACCACCGCAGACGGTCCGAGGAGTAACCGCCTCGGTAGCTCCGATAGTCCCGCGAACCCGATGCGCAGCTAAAAAGCTGCGTAAGTTAAACTCGTTGCACACTGATTGCGAGCGAATTAAACGCGGTAGTAAGTGCTGCTCAATTCGTGTCTCTCGGAGAGCAGACCGCCGCTGTCGTCGTCGTCGTTGTCGCCGTCGAAACAGAAACAGGGCAGAAGAGAGTGGAGCGACTCCCGCACCCCACCGGGGCAGTCTGAGTGGAGGGTGTGGTGGGCCGCGACGCGGGGGCCCGGCAACGCGGCCGACGAACGCAAAAACGCGCTCTCCCGGTATCCTTACCACCGGGCGCCGTCTCGTCGTCGCCAACCCCCAGCGCCCCCCCCCCCCTATCCTACACTGATCGTTTTCGGTCCCTGACCTACTCGAATCGATCTAGCTAAGGGTGCAATCCCAGGACCTTCGAAGTATTCGTCATTTGCAGGGTGCCGGCTTCGACGCCTTTTGCAGGTGACGTTGACCTTTTCCCAGAGAAACGCTGTAATAACAGTGTGCTAGCACCTGGGGACCAATGTGGATGACAATTTATCACCTCGTTATACGCTCTTGATTTCAATATCTCTTGATTCTGTTCTTCATCACTGATTACTGCTCGATATCTTTCAAGAGTGTTTCTGGCAAATATAGGCCCCAGTCTAGAATTACATCAGCCTAAACTGATCGTACAAGAACTGGGGCATCAGGCTGTAATGAAGCTGGGTCTTTTCCGCTCCTAGACAAGCTTGTATTAGATGATCAGCGAGAATTTGTCATATTTTGTAGGAGATGATTTCCTAAAATTCGTCAGATATTCAAGTTCTATGCTCGTTTGTTCTTTCTATCCACTTCTCATGTGCTCGTTTTGTTAAGGAATCATAAAACCACAAGAATTTGAATATCATTCCACACACGTGGCCGTTTGGGTTCAGAAAGACCACAGTTTGTGGGGGGGGTTTAGCTTCTCGATCTCGTAGTTCTTATAATTGTATTGCTAAAAGCTCAAGTTTCATTCGCTTTTTTGACAGTTTCTAGCTTTTCATATATACTCTATCTCGGAAAACGAGAAGAGCGTCGAGTGCAGACCACACACCACAAGTGACGACGGCCAAGAAAAAGTGGCTTTCTTTTCTTTTTCTTGGCCGTCGTCACTTGTGGTGTGTGGTCTGCACTCGACGCTCTTCTCGTTCTACAAAATGGAGGGTATATTCATTACTTCTTTGCAATGACTACTTCTGAGCTCTAGGCCTAAGGAGAGGGGGTGTTCTGGTAAGAGAGTAGCAAGGCTAAGAGTATGAGGACTATTGCTAGAGGAGGGGAAGATGCCTTGAAGTGCAATGAACAACTTTCTCGAAGTACATTTGTTTTTTTTTGTAAAAGGATTCTTTTACCTGCCCATCTCTGTCTTCTCTAAAAAATCCTCATCCACTGTCGCGCAGTTGCCTCTTTGCACTACTCAGTATCAAAGTCTTGTAATGTTTGAAATTTGAATTAATGGCATAGAATTGAAGCTTGTAACACTGTCATTTTAGAGGATCCTTGTCCGACATTAATTACCGTAATGCGCTAAGATGCCCCACCTTTTTACTGGAGAAGCGCTCACTTTTGTTAGTGGTTATCTGATAGAGTTAAGGCCCATGAGAAGTCAAGAAGTACATTTTCGTAACGAATGCGTCTTTTTGGTTAAATTTATTACTATATTTGCATGTGTGTTTTCTAGTTTCACCTACATACCTGTGCCGATCCGCTGAAGGAGATCTCGTGTGGTATTTGCTATTCTTCAGACTAATGACTTTGGTAATCGCTGGCTAACCACTGCCCAGATTTGCATGGAGAATGGTAGTCGTTATTGCTTCACCTACCCAAAATCAGCCACGTGGTACAACTTCGACTCACCTCAGCCGTGACATGGGTCGTGAGAGTCGTCATGTGTATGTGTCTGGGCTTCCAGACTCTGTATCTGACGAACGGATTAATTCCTTCTTCTCAAGGTCCGTAAAATTCTTGATATTCGCTTGTTAAATATCCTTTGATTTTACCTTCATTACTAGTAACCAGTTTCAGTTATGGTCGTGTTCATCAGATAGAACGAACACACGAAGGCGTCGTCGTGAGCTTCATGGACGTTAGATCTGCGCAGAAAGCCCATGCTGGCGATCATCGATTGGATGCTGGAATCCCATTCAGGATCGCTTTCCATGAACCTGGTGTCAAGAAGTACTGTATTCTTATTAATTCCAGCTGGCTTTTTAGTCACTGTCTACTTTGCGAAGATTTCGCTCGTTAATTTTCGTTTCTTTTCGAAACGACGTAATGCTGACCTAAGAACACGATAGAATACGGCCAGAGAATGTGTTCGTGGCCTATTTTTTTAAAGAGGGATTCCTCATATATATTTATGTCGTTGACTAGAAAATACTTGATTTCTTTCGGAATTATCGCATATTCGACTCGTCATGTTGCTGGCCGAACTGTTTCACATCAGGCTCGTTGTTCATTCATGCGATACCACGACTTACTACCCAACCTATCAAGAACGAGTCCCCAATCGCGTTGTTTTGTTGCGGGCGTACGTTTGTTGGCTGACCCGCGTCCCCAATTCCATTGCAGGTCACCAAATGGCTACCCCGCGGACAGTCCGACTTGAGGCCACTAATTACGTCGTTATTTAATAGCATTGTTCGAGTTTTCCGATGACATTTGCGCGCGCTGAAAGATTTGACATTCTCACGAGGGAATTTCTACGCAGTGGTAAAATGGGTTGCAAGAACTGGACCACATGACGTTGAGTGCTGAGTGCAAGTCGTTTATTTCTTCTGTGTGTACGAAACGATCCTTAAATACCCCTTAGGCGACATCTTTCCTCGTGTTAGATGAACGATGTGATGTAGAAATGATCCGATTGCCAAGCAGCGACATACGTCGTTATTTCTCTTGATTGTGAGTGAAGTGGTGTGGTTATTTTCCTACTGCGCAGCTCTTGCACAGATTCTGCGCTTTTTACATGGAAGTACATGGTTTTCTTTTTTTGCTCTTATAGAGAGGGAGCGTCTGTAATCGATAAGCGATTTTTCATCCCTTGGGGTTTGTTCGGCAAAAGTTGCCGTGCGATTTGCGGAAGTAAAACTCATATTGTGAAAATTTGGAGGTGTTGAGACCTTGATCAATAAGCTACTATAAAAGGTTACAGTAGAAATATTTTGCCGCATAATAAAATCTGTGCTCTCTTTCTGTCCGATGCTTCCATTAGCCCTGTTTTAGTTAGGGGAGGGCATTTTGCGGAATGAGGGGGAGAGAAGGGTTGAGTAGGTATATGTAGAAATTAAAGTGAACCCCTTCTTTTTCTTTAACTCGCTTGGCCAAATGTACGTTTTTTGCGCACCTCAGCACTTCTTCCAATATCCTCTGAGTGGCGTTATCCTCTGAGTCCTTGAAAGCCCCTGTGGATCCTTAAATCACTTGGAATCACCTTCGATAGTCACATATATCTCTAGTGTAGTCGTACACCCCACTATCTAGCCTCGCTTAATGGCGATAGTCCCTGCGAGACGTATCGCTTCAATCGATACTGCGGGCGGCGCAATGTCCCACGAGGGTCTTGTGTCAAGATATGATGTCATCGCTAACCACGTCTGCGCAGGGAGGGTTCCCGTTGTTAGAGGGACAAGCGGCATATGGTCATGCCAATGGCACTTCAGTTTTGACGCTTACGTTTACGACTTGCACCCTTTCTGCGGTAGACACACCGTCGATCGAAAACTTGCTCCTAGTTGCGTTATATTTCCTCCTGTTTGTAATGACGGTGATGCTTCATTCTCTTCATCATTAATTGGTTGAATTCACATCTTTCCAATCGCTCTTCGCTGAAATTATGAAATTAGGACATAATTTGGTATTAAACATTACATCATCATCGAAATGGATCAGCGTTTAGGAAGTGCACGTGTTTTGAGGCTCTGATCAATTTTAAGTATTCAGCGGTTTGATGACAACGTCGTCATTATCTTCCACGTCGAATGGCACCTTCTTCGCCAAAATCATCTGCTGAAGCTTCTCGAAGGCGAACGCCATCACCACGAAGCAAGGATCTTGGGAGGTAGGCAGAGGCTTAAGGGGTTGTACCTTCAGTATCTCCCTCAAAAGCCCAGGAAACGCTGCTGGCGTTATTGTTGAAGTCATCGAGAGATTTTATACGTGATGAGCTTTAGTGAAGCATTCATCAGCTTCTGGAAGGGGATTCTTAAACCTCATACTCGTAGGCTCTGAGCTCCATCGATTCGTAAAGTGTAGTCCAGGGGTTTTTGTGGGCGGTGGTGTTCAGTTGAAACGAGTTTATCTTCAGAACGAGTCAGCAACGAGTGATTACGAATGCAGGGAAGCGAATGATACGATCTGAGGGACATCGAAGAGATCAGGGGTAAGTGACATAGGCATTATGATTCTGCGACGTGCCTCTGGAGATCTCTTCATTCTGTTCCTTTTCCTCAGACTTTCAAGTGATTGTCATTTTTATCTATCTTTAATGGGGACGTCGCAAACTAGATTAAAAACAACCGGTTCCGGTGGCGCAATTCTATTGTCTCTTTCTCATACTTCAGAGAGGATACGCTGAGAGAAACGTTGTGCACCTTTTTCATTCAATGATATTCTGCTCGGGATTACAGCACTGCTTCTCACTGTAAATTACTGTGTATGCTTGAACAAAACTATTGAAAATAGTCTTGCCCAATTGTTTTGACTGTGTTTTTGTAGCGCTTGTGCACAGTAATGGTGAGAAGGTGTCGCGGTTTCACACACTTACTGCATTACGTTGAGGTCAATATAAAATCTGCAATGCTCAGCAAAATTGATTTATGTGTGAGGGCAATAGGGTGAAAATTGTCGTGGTATAGGAATGCCACACGAAAGTTTCGCAATATTCTCTATGACGTCAAGGTCACTTATCACATCCCTGCTCTTGTGATCGAAATGTATTGAAAGCGTTTGTTGCTATTGTAACCGAACACAATACGTTGTGTAGATTGAAAGTCCCATATAGACTGTCTGGGCCATCACAGAAACTACTGCTCCAACGAACTCAATCAACTAATGAAGGAATTAGTGTGATTGAACTCTTGACTTGTAGGCACCATACCGCTTCGAAGTAATTTAGAGTGCACACACAAGCACTCTCTGATGGAGTTACAAGGCCCTGATTTAAGCTTCAAAGTCGAGGCGTTTCAAAAATTCCTCGTCAGATAAAGGTTTCTTATAAATCCCACTTAGACCAAAATCAATTGCTTTGTTGCAACAGTGAGCATAGTTTTTTTATGGTAGTTTTTTTATTGCTAGATTTGATACTTTTTTTAATGAATGCATGATTTTAGAAGTTTTGCTCTCGAAACTTCGGAACTAGTTCGAGAAAAATGAATGGTTTAAGCTTCTATAAAAAATATGTTCAGTGTTGTGAGAAATTAGGTTGTTCGGAAAGATTCCGCCTCTTTAGTAGCTTAATTTCGGGTGCTACATTTCTAAACCACCTTCAAGAAACTGCTGACATTTCAGATGTTAGAGGACGCATTTCTCGCTCTATCTTGAAGTGCTGTTCCTTCCTTTTGTCCAAAGTTTTGAATGGACATACTCAACAGGCTGTTTTGCACGAGTTTCTTGTTACCTTTCAAATTAGGCCGGAAAGGTGCGGGAGAAAGTCGTGATATTATTCATGCATTTGGTTCCGAATCGGCAAAAAAATACGTAGTGCAGTCGTGATTCATAACGTTTTGCTTGCGATTTTGAAAGCTCCTAAGGTTAGGGTGGTGGTCGGATATCAGAAATTGATAAAGAGCAATTGAGGATTTTGATCAATCAAATTTGCATGGAGCTGTTGGAGGGGCCGCTTCGCTGAAGTGGGGTCCCTCAAATGAATATATGAAGGTAAAAAGTTCGAAGAAGTCAATAAGAAGATGCTGCCGTCTCCCACTGTTGCTCAGCCCCATCTAGCACTCGCGAAATTTCATTAGTTGCACTAGCTGACCTATAAAATTGAGTTGCAAACATTTTTTTTCAGTAGACCTGTGGCTTATCAATTATTCTTCAACCATCGGATGGTCTCTTTAAAAAAACGAAAAAGTCTTGAAACCCAATATGATGGTGAACGACCTTCGCCGAGTTCTCCGCCTACAGAACTCCAAGCATTCTTGAAATCCGAATCTATTATCCCTTGTTGACGAACGTATGGGGATATATTAGTTTCTTTTTCGATGAAAAAAATGCTTTGTTTGAGCCGGGATATTCGCTTTTGAATTTTAGAGTCATAATCGGCGAGAACTTCTCGAAAACCCTCAAGTTGCAACATAATTTTCCGCTGAATTTTGAACCTTGACAAAAGTCTACTGAACAGCTGTAATGCGAAATAATTCAATAAAACTCAAAAGTTGCAGCAGATTGAAATTTTCTGCCGTTATAATTTTGAACCCTGACAAAAGTCTACTGAACAGATGTGGTGCGAAATATTCTGTTTTGCTCAGACTAGACGCTATTGATGTTTGATGAAAAAGTAGACCAGAGGTTGTATACGTGAGGGTTGAGCCAGTTTCGCGCTCGGAACGATTATGACTCATGTGAGGGACGGCCAGTAGAAACGTGCGCTGTTCGGACGGCGCAGCCTCATCGATCGTGGGGGGTTTGTTTTGAATCTGTGCAGGAACCGCTGAGGAAGATGGGTGGAATTAAACTGGCAGGGATTGAGACATAGCATATTGAAAGAATAAGAAGTAGAGACAAAATCCAGATATTAATGTCGCAAGGTTGGAAAAACACCGTGGGCAAAGCGATTTAGCAGTTCATTGTGAATTTACTCTTGCTTTGATGAAGCAGTCAACCCACCTGAATCAAAGATATTCCGCTGATCTCTCCTCCTCCATCTGATGCATGTCGTCATCTTGGCTTCTTTCCCCTTATTGTCATGCTTTTACGTTTTTTCTCTCAATTCAACTTCTGTTCGAGACTAGTTCGAAGTTGGTTGGTATGAACTTGGTGATGTCGTTCCTGCTTGTGCGTTTCGATAATTGCGTTACTTTCTCCACTCTGTGTTTCAGCCAATCTGGAAACGAGTAACTTTACGATGAAATGAACCTTCTTATTACATTTGAGATTGAAACTATTGAGTGAACATGCAGATGCCGATGTGAGGCTTGCAGTCAATCATTAAGTACATTTTTGGCCACCTTCGCCACATTCTTCGAGTAGAGGAACAACTCGGTGTGTATTTTTGGGAGGACACATTTTACCTGCTTCTGTCAATATCCGAATCGAAGTTTTCCTACAATAGAAAATAATACGATCCGTCGCAAGTTTCGCTGATTTTCGCAGTTTTCGCAATTTTCGCGATTTGCGCGATTCGCAATTTTCGCGATTTGCGCGATTCACGCGACGGGTCACGGAAATCACAAGTGCCCGATCAATACTGCAAGGTGTTCTCCAATCCTGCCGCCACTTCTGCTTGATAGTGATGGCTGAATGACGACTGCTCATGATTCCACTTGTTTCATATTCAGTGTTTCAAATGTTCAAATGGGGCACTTGCAATTTTTGCGATCCGTCGCAGGTTTCGCGCAAATCGCGAAAATCGCGCAAATCGCGAAAATCAGCGAAACCTGCGACGGATCGCGGACTCTGACACCAGCCTAAGACACTCAATACAAAATACATAGCAAGTATATAGACAGCACTTTCACGAATTTTGTATTTTTATTATGTTTGAAAGTAAGTAAGATGTAATCACTAATTCTAACTTACCAACATACTTTTGTAGAATTGACAAGAGAGACATTGTTTAAGTGAAAATTCACAATAACTATCAAACATCGCGTATATTTCAAATAATTGTAAAATACTGAATTCAGTGAAAAAGAAAAACAGAATGCACAGCAGCACATGTTTTGTGCAGTTGAATGTTCCGATGAATTAGAACGATTTACAATTTCTTGATTTAATTTGGTTGTTAATACGAAATTTCAGTAAAATATTTCTCTCGTGTTGTTACCATCTTCTCTCCGTTCTATTCTTTGGCAGAGATGCTTATTCTGCCCAAGTGAAAAGTATCTACTTCAAAATGATCTGAAAGTGATCTGAAATTGTTACTCAACAAGGTCAATAATCGATTCGCGGTTATTTAAAACCCCAAGCGAAAAAAAATGTTGCTGAATATAGAATGTGCAGAATGTTGCTACCTAGCGATGTCTTTTTGCTAGGGTTGACAATTGCTATGTGCCCTTCAAATTACTGTAATTCTCTGTAGCAATGAGTTCTTTTTGCTTTCTGAATAAGGCGCATTATCCTAGTGGTATTATGAAGAACTATTCAAACAAAGAGAAAAACATGCAAGCGCGGAGTCTGCTTCCATCATCCTCACACGTACCAGCTTGCAATTTATTTTCTTTTTTACTGTTTTTTTTTTCATGTGGGCTGATTCCATAATTTCCATACAGTAGAGCTTCCTCGTACGGTTCTCGTGTCTTACAATAACTGCTCTCTTCACTCATATGTTCAGAATTTGCGAATTCAGCGATTTACGTCAACAATTGAACAATTATTGAGAATTTATTTTGCGATGAATTTTCAAAATGTTTCTTAGAGGCGACCTTCAACTGTTCAACTTGTCTATCTTGATCTCTTCCTACGTTGTTATTGTTATTAGGTGATCGGTAGGGCCGATGTACGTCGGCTCAGCTTTGATAGAGGTTTAGGATTTAACATTAGCCTTGTTTGTTTTGGATGCTGATGTCTCTAGGCCGACGTATTTTTTTCAATCTTTTCTGATGAAGTGAACTCTTCTCCACCTTTTTTGAATTGCTCTGCCAACTTTCTTAGCACGCCTATGGAAAAATGGCTCGCGTGATTCTGCATTCCTCAGTGCCATCGCCTTCTGGAAAGCCATCGAACAGCCCTTAATTTCACACGTTCTTCAGAGCGTGCGTTCAACTGTAGACTTGCCTTAAAATTCGAAGGAACTCCTCACTGTTCTTGATTATCAGTGTAATCTCAGGATATCGGCTTACCTTTTTCATGAGTTCCATTGGGATGCATCGCTATCCGATTTGTATCTAGTGATTTCAGGCGGTCACCTGATGCTGTGAACCTGTGTGGCGGCATATCTGGGTCTTCTGTTGGTTCCGTTTCCGTGTGCGCATCAGCACATTCTTCTGGTGGTTTACAAGTGCGTGAAAAAATAGTACTGTTGTGTACAGTCCTAATCCAATATTTTTTAGGGGGTTTATGTTGAACGTCTCCCTCCAAGAAGTGACGGAACTGTGAAAGAGGCCATAAGAGATGCGTTGAAAAAGCATGGTCGCATCGTGGATATCTCGATTGAAGGAGATGGAGACGCAAGAAAGGCCCTTGTTATTTTTCAACGGTATTTTTTTTCTTCTGATGTATTTACTAATGAACTTCAACCTAAGTATTTGCAGTGTCATTGACATGGAGAAACTAGTGAACGACTCCCACATTTCCATCTTATCTATGCGTGTTCGCATTCGAGCAGCCAATCACGTTGTTGTTCAGGTCAGTTTTGATTCTGTTTGCGAAAAGCATTTCATTTGCTTATTCTGGTTCCTCTGGAATATAAGTAGGTGTTCACATTTTGGAAAACAAGTGGGCGTTCAAAAGAGGAAGCGTGCACATCATCGCTACAGTTTGCGTTAAGAGTTTTGCTTCTCCACTCTCGGCGTTCTCTTTTGGTCGTTCTCTTGTCGACATGCTCAGTCGCTTTCCCTTGCTTCTGTACATTTGGTTTCTTTTAATAGTTCCTTTTACTTTACATGCAACTCTAGTTTCTCAGTCATATTTAAAAAGTGCAGTCGCTCGCACTAATTAAATCAGTTCCCAACACCTGCCTGACGCAAGTGCGGTTGACGTTATGTATCAATGACAGTATCTGACATTATTTTCGAAAGCCACCAGATTGTGTTCGTTAATTGTATTATAGCAACTCTTTATGTTGGCAGTGTTGAAAGTAAAGAACCTGTTATGAGATAGAAAACAGATGAGGTTTAGCGGGAATAAATGAAGAAAAACTGACAAGAAACGTTTGAGAACCTTCGTATTGATGATATGGCAACATAAAAACATATCGTTAAAGTGTGAGAAGCCCAGCGAGAGAGAGTCTTTTATTGAAAAATGAGAGAGACCATGAGTAAAAGGGAAATAGAGACTAAAGTTCAGAGAAAAGTAAGTGATGGTGGGGCTGGCAGAGCGAAACAGATAGATTTAAACAACTTTTGTAGGAGGGAGAAATGTTAACAAATTATTCAGCCAGTCAGGGCATAGGAAAGGAGAACATGATGTTTGAATGATGCTTTATCTACAGCGCTTAGATTGCTTAGCATGTTGGTCGTTAGTCGCTTTTAGAAAGCGGAATTTCTTTGACGAGAAATCTTCTCATCCCTTCTTTTCCCCTATATTTTTATTATGTGTGCTTGAAGAGATGAATTTGAATTCATTTAAGGAGGCATATAACGACTACCTATCACTGAATAGCCCCGCTGGTAGTGGTGCCACCGTTGGGCCAGATGCGGATCTTCCTGCGAAGTATTCCTCACCCAACGGAAATAGAAATGAAGTGGACGTTTTCCATCCTAAGGTATGACTTGCCTGGTCATGGCTAGTTTGTTATTTCAAACTTTTTTAGAATAAATCTATACCAATAGTGTCGAGTGTTTAGGCGTCCCGCACGTTGTACGTCGGTGGCTTAGAAAGTCGAATATCAGACGAGACTTTACGTCGTCGATTCGGGAAATATGGCACGATTTTGGACGTGGACGTAAAGAACTACGAGTCGCCGTCACCATTTGCCTTCATCCAGTTCGCTGATATAGACTCGGCTGTGCGCGCCATAAATACGCACGCTACTACTGTACAGCCAGCGAACAAAAAGGGAAAGGTAAATTCTCATAAAAACAATAACTTGTGCAAACAACACATGCATTTTTCTCATACCCTCTGCACGCCACAAATTCTCGTTTGCTTTTTTTTAGAAATTTCAACCGAACTTTGGAAGGTCCATGACGACAAATAAGTTGTGGATTGGTTCTATTCCACCTCAGATTGGCGAAGAGTATGTGATTCAGAAGCTTCGCTCTTTATCCGAAGGTAGAATTTGTGTTTACGTATACTCGATAGTTTTAAATTAAACTTCTCGTTCAGGAGTAGTTGACGTTGTCGTGGATATGAGGGTTCGACAAGCTATCGTAGTGTTCTCCTCCACGGAAGGGGCACAAGCAGCTCTAAACCGCATTAAAGCTGGTGTTCCGAAACAGTTGTAAGTGATCTGTAATATGTATCTTGCTGTTCATACACTTCAACAAGAAATTATCACTGTTTTTATCCCTTATAACAGTTCGCGTTTTCACAATGCTTGCAGAATTGCAAGTGCGCAATTCTTGACATACTCAGCTCTATTGATCCTTTCTGTCTGGTGCAATAAACAAGCATGTCTCGTATAGGAGTTGTGGGTCTATGACGATTATTAGTCTCGCGGACGAATGCTGCAATGCTCAAACTATGTCGTGTTTTAGTTAGTTGTTAAGATGAATGAGTTTTTTACTGGGTGAACCACATGATTTCAAAAGCTCAGTTGTTCCTGAAACTCGAATCATAACATTTCACAAGAAATAACAAAATCGCATACGTTGTCAAGTTGTGGACGCGGAAGCATTTATAGGAGTAAGGTGGGCAAGTGTACCGCAAAGGAAGCAAGAAACGTCGTTACGAAACGGGCAGCGCCGGGGAATGAGTTTCGTTGCCTGAGGCATTGCTATAGGCGGGTCGATATGGGTGGCGCGTGCATTTTCCTCTC